TGGGATACAGGGCACCTTCATTAAAAACACATAGTCACCCATATATTAAATACAAAAAAAAACGTGCTCTGACATAACGTTAAGTGTCAGATGGAAACCCGCAACAGCCAGGACATTCAGCGTTCAAGACAAAGCAGGCCTTTCGGGTGTTGAGAACAGGACTGGAGCATGCTCCTTCCTTAACTCGCCCAGCCGCACTCGGGTACTCCACAGCTCAGCACAGGCTATAAGACCAGCTCTTGTTCTTGAGCTCTTATAAAAGACCCTCTTCATCTGGAAATTTTTGTGCTTGTGCTTTTGTAGATTCAAGTCAGACTCATCATACTTTTCAAGTGCTGACTTTCAGGCTGGGTTTTGTTCTCTCTTAAAGTTCCAACAAGTCGTTTTTTGTAGAGATGTGCAAATAATTAAGTTTTTAGTTCACTGGCAGGAACAGAAAATATCACGGGCAAAAATTGTTTGGGGTCAGTCTGGACTGTATTTTTTCCAATGTCCTTGGGAAAACAAAAGGGGGTGGAAAAAGCAAAGAAAAATATTGTTTCATGTCAACTAAAATATGTTCAAGGGAATTACCTCTCGTTATAAATCATTTTTGGCAAATTTCAAAACAATATTATTTTGAAAACTGAAATTTGACATTTTTCACTCTGAAAATGCGGAAGTGAAATGTTTTGACTTTTAAAAAATGTTTCCAGTTCCTTTTGGGGGGGGGTCAGCCAAAGCCAGTCGCTGAATTGGCATGAGTTAGCTAATTGTTTTGATCAGCCCAAAACTGCATTTTTCAGCAAAGAAGTTATTCATCAAAAATATCTGCCAGCTCTAAGTCAATGCTGTAACGGTGCCAATCTTTAAAGTGTTGTAATCTAGTGGGAATGTCTTTATTGTTTTATTTTTTGTTTTGTTTTGTTTTATTTTATTTTACCTCTAAACCTATTATTCCAAAACTAAGATAAATAAAAACCCTTCCAATGGGCAGTGTCTAAGTGTTACAAATTCAGGGGTAGGCAAAATGTGGCCCAGGGGCCGAATGTGGCCCGGCAGGCCATTCTATCCAGCCCATGGGGCCCCCCCAAAATTAAGAAGATGAATATTTATCTGCCGCTGGCTGCCTGTCATGTGGCCCTCGATGGCTTGCCAAAACTCAGTAAGTGGCCCTCCACCCGAAATAATTGCCCGCCCCTGTGTTACACACTCAAAAGCAACATTGTTTCTTTGGTGGCTCAGCAGCTAAGTAACAAAGTGCATATCTCAGTACATACCCACAATCTGTGCAATCCCCATTGACAGTGGAGGCTTAGTAACAAGAATAAGTGATGAAATCGTTCACCTCAAACTTTCAATTTTTGGGAAGGCAAAGCACATTCCCAACGTCTGGCCACGTTTTAGTTTGTGCCCTTATACGACCAGTGCATTAGAGACATTCTCCAGTGAGCAGATCCACTTGGGTTTCGCAGCCTTTTTGACATGCAGAAGCTGTAATGCAATGAGGGATCGGGTTCTGCATCTCCTTCCATCTGTGTGAATGCTAGATTATAGCTGGGGCTTGTGATACAACATTAATACTCAATTTCCTTTTCAGTATCCTTCAATGGAGTTCCTCCAGAACGTTATCATACTAGCAATGATTTCTGTTGTCATGCAGTACCTTTCTACAACATGCTACTTCCTGTTACCCATATTATGGGAAAAATAATCATGTTTAAATCAATGGTGCCAGATAGCTGTTCATTCCAACCAGGCTTTTGCACAGTAAAAATTATATAGCACAAAAGGGCTTACACAACTCATCTCAGTGCACTCTGATAAGATGCGCCAATAAGCATCAGGCTCTTGAATTATTTTTCTGTATTGTGGGCTTGATGCAGTGCCCATTGACGTCAATAGAAAGGCTCCCCCTATAACTCGTATGGGATGTGGATTTGGCTGTATATTTTATAGTCCTACCATGTTACAATTTCTGTGCTACAGGCAAACTGGCTTCTTTTTGTTGAGACTGTGCAATGTGAAAATACTAAGAAGTAAACGAATAAGCCATAGAACAAAGTTAATTATGCAGTAAAATGATTTTAATGTGCGTCTCAGTTTCCTCGTCAGTAAAATGGGGGAAATGATACCAAACTCCTTTGGAAGGTCCTTGAAATCTATTGATGAAAAGTTCCATATAAGAACAAAGTGGGGAAATTAGACTTATTTTTAGCTAGATAGCCGTAGGGTAGAGATTGGCAGTATGCGCAAAGTGAATACAGGCTCCATCATTTGCAAATTATTTTTCCCATTTTAAAAACTGTGCTCTCTCTTGTGTCATCACCTTGTTTAGTAGACCTGATCAAAAATGTGAAAAACAGCTTGTTCAAATAAAGGCTGAGCAAATATATATATGCACAAACTGCACTGATGAAAACGTTCAGCAAAAAACTTCATGGAAGGGACTGGCATTCCATCAAAAATCAATATTTTTATGAAAAATGGACCCCAAAACTCACCATTTTGAAAATGTTAGACAGTTCTAATGACCTTTTTGCATTGAAATTTTGAAATAAAAATCATGCAAAACCACTCAACTCCATCAGTAGGGTAAACTATATATATTTTTAAAGCTCATGGGATATTTTTGCCACATATGAAGAGTGTTTCTGTCAGCATCTGAAATTCTGTTGAAACTGTCTTTGGCTTTACTGCAGTGCTGGCATTTTCTTGCAAAGGTCCCACTCAAGAATGGGCCCCGGCATGCTCACTGATGGACACACACGTGCAAAAGATGCAGGACTCAAGCCTCATTTATGCCAAAGCCTTTTTACATCACTCTGTCAATATATCTGGGCCTGAAGTGACCGCACATCTGTTTGCTAGACGTTCGACAGCTGAGGAAGGGCTTCTCCAGTTGAAGAGAAAGGAGAAACATGCCCGAACTAGCAGCATGATGCAGAGCAAGTGTCAGTCCGAAGTGATTTAATACAGCCGAGTTATAAAACCCTGAAAAAATCGAGGTTTACAATGGAAACTCTGACAGGCCGTCAAGTTACAGTGGCACTCGCAGGCCCTGCTGTAATTAAATCCTCAGCAAAAACTTCACAACATGCTACAATAATAACCTTTAAATTTTCATAGTGGTGGATAGAGATAGCCCTGTGACTGCTGTTAAAGGCAGCAGTATTTAGGTAGTTAAAACCCCCTGAAACACTAGGAAATTATATCTAAAAAGGGGCAATAGACAAAACCAATATGCTTTTCTTAGTGGTGAATGTTAAAGTGTTTCAGGGCAGACTTGTGCAATATGTGAGCCTACAAGGTGCAGTCAGAAAGAAGGGGGAAAGCCATGCAGAGGGCAGAAAAGACATGCAAGCCCTTTGTTGTTCTGCTAACCCTGCAAAAATACTGGGGAAACCCACCACTGTGTCTGCTGAGCAGAAAATATTGTGAGAAATGTTCCTTTTTTTCCTAAATGCCAAAAGGGCACAGCCGACTTTGCCATTGAGATGTGTGAAAATTTCATGCTCTGAAATCAAATACTTCTTTAGTTAGTGCTTTGGTTTCAAAAGCTGAAGCTCTTGACAATTACACATGTGAAAATGATAGCCGCCGCGGGAAATTTTGAGGATCTAAAATGAAAGAAATCTCTGGGCCAAATCCATTATGTAAATGCAGACCGTCTATGACATTTGTCCATATTTACATGAGCATAACCGAGAGGAGAATTTGGTCTATAACCTGCGATCTCTGCAACGACTTGTTGAACTAGACATCCAGGCCGACGGCTTGCCCACCACGTGGAGCCAGACGGGTTGTGAACAGACAAGCTATTAAATCCCAGAAATGTGAGTCTGCTGTAGTAACTGGCCCTATGCTACAACCAGGGAATTTGCCATTCCTAGCATATCACTTAAGAAAAATAGGCTGTTTCCCTGTCAGCAGTCACAATTCACCATTCACTTGTGCTCATTTGAAAACCGAATTCCTAGATCTGCCCGTCTCTAACTTAAAGTATTTTCGTGCTCCCATTCACTTCCGCAAGGCGTAAAGGGGGAAATGTTAATGGCAGTGGGGCTGATCTTGCCAGCTCTTCTGCTTGCGAGCACTTCAGGAAGGGCAGCCACATCCTTGCATCTAAAGGATGGACCTGTCTGATTGGAAAAGACAGTTTAATGCAACACTGCTTGATTTTTTTTTTCTTCCATAATGAATGTCCTGTCTTGTGGGTCTGTGCGACTTCTGTCATTATGCCACAGAAATCCTGCCTTGAGTAGGGGGCTGGACTAGATGTCTTTGCGAGGTCCCTTCAGCCCTACTTTCCTACGATCTGGTGCAGAGTACAGAATCAGAGTCCGCTGCAGTCAGAAGTACAGATCTCTGCCCCGCTATCGGCAGTACAAGGATGCAGCCGAGGTCCTGGGGCCCAGAAGCAGCAGCGACTTCTGGTTACCGCCACGATCACAATTGTAATTAAGCAGCTGCCACTCTTTTTTTTTTTTTTTGCACCTGAGGTGGTTGCCCTGTTCACGCCACCCTCCTTATGCCTCTGACCCCTATGGCATTGCCTTGATAGCCGGGGGGCTGTATGCAGGCCCAAGGGTCCACCCATGTGGCTTTAGCAGCACAACCAGAGGCTCTCTGTCCATTTGGATGTATAGGCTGGGTTACTTGGGCTCTCAGTTCTCCACACAAGCTCTCTTTCCTGCTGCTGCTTTTTCTTTAAAAGGAAATTGCTTAAATGACTGTAACTTGCATGCCGAAGCATTTTTAAACATACTTTTATGAAAAGCTTTTGAGCTATTTTTTCACATGCGCACAGACAGACACACACACACACACACACACACACACACAACTGAGCGCCATACCAAACACTGTGAATCATCATATGGTCTTGCTCTAGCCACACGGAGGAGTTAATGAGTAAATGGTGGGAGAAAAGGCAGCTACTTAATTTCCACGGTGATAAAATGCCTCAATTTTCTTTCCCTGAAATCTGATTTGCTTTTCTTTGGCTATTTATTTTCTAGTGGAATGGAGCTGCTCTGAAGACTTTTCTCCTTTGGCCGGGGAAATTATCATGGATAATCTTCAGTCTTTGAGGTGCATCATCACAGGCCTCAGAACGGTAAAGGCCAAATCATTAATTTAGATCTTTAACTCCCCCGGTGATATAAGGGCCCTGACATTTGTGTCCAGACCTCTTGGCAATAACAGCAGAGTACCATTCCTCTGGCAACAACTGCCCGTCATTAAGCATAATATGTCTGGTATCCATAATCTGGGAGTCACAGAGGAATAGACAAACAGCATGAACTGTTTTGTAAGTTGTCATGTTATGGGGAGATCAGAAAAGATTGGAATGAAAGCCCCTGCTCTCTGGATCACAGGATAATCTCAGTGCAGATCAAAGGCTCCTGAGTGATCCAGTCCTGACTCCATGTCTGATGGTTAAAATAACAAGTCTATCTCCTCCACCTCATCCAGGAACACAGTTGCTGACTGCCGTCTTTTTCTTTTTAAAGAAAGGATGTGTGTGTTTGTGCAGATAAGAACTGGGTTAGTGATGGAGAAAACTTTTCATGAATATTTGCATGGATTTTTACCGAGTCTAACTTCAGCCACATGTCTATAACCCTGCTCTGCCAGGGCTTTTGAGACCATTTGTAGAAGCAAATTTTGGTTCACAAATGCTGGCCTCATTCAGAAGTTGCACAAATATTTGTGCTGGAAGCCTTCTTTAAGGGCCCAATCCAAAGTTCACTAAAGTTTACAGGAGTCTTTCCATTGACTGGACTGGGTGTTGAATCAGAGATTTGGGTCAAAAAACCTTGGCCATTGGCCTGAAGCATAGGTTGCTACGGATATCTGACTGTGCCCTAAGGTTAAAATTCTTAAATAGATTTGTCTGGGAGTTCAGGGATGGGCACAACATGAAAACTTCCAGCACCAGTTTGGGAAGAGATTGTTTTATTTAGTCGTTTGCTCTGGAGAGAGCTTTGAATTGAAGCCCGTTATTTTTCCCGGCTGATGGGCTCTCGCTTGCATCTTCTACCTTTTCATTCTTACCAGCAGTATAAAGCAGTTTTACTAAAATACAAATCAGCTAAACGTGCGGTCACTTCCAAGAACGCATGTTAAGGGCAGAACTTTGTTATACCTTTAGCTCCGCACAGATATGCGGATGCAATATCTTTACAGGAACGGTGGGGTTTTTAATAGGGCTCACACTGGCTTACCTCCGCTTTCTTTGAAATCTCGTGGAGGAGAGAGCTTTGGTCCCTGCTCCTGTCACTGTTTGTGGTTCCTGCCAAGGCAGTGGGTAAATGGTGGAAATAATTGTGAGATCAGAGACTGAAACCCTGAATTCCCTCCTGCACACAGTGTGCCCTAAGCACTTTGCTGCAGAGTTGTGCTCCTCCTTGCTCACTGTCTTTCCGTGCCCCTGAATCTGACATGCTCTTCATGGCAGCTTCAGCACAGAGGGAGGGAGTATCCTGTAGCCTGGAGGTTGGGATCTTCCCATGGCAGACAGGCAAGGATGCAGGGGTTGAATCCCTTCAATCCGCCGAGAGAATTGAACCCGTCTCATTGCTATTCCCGCCCCAGTAAAGCTCTTCTAGCGTGAGCCAATCCATACAGATGCATAAGGATATAAAACTGAGCAGAAGGAATTTCTCAAGTCATTAATTTAAGGCCATATCAGTTAAGATAGGTATGGCATGTTAGAGAAGCAAAGTGCAAAGAAATTAATATTTAAGGTTTAATGCATTTTGTTTCCATTTTTGTTCATTTGCAGGGCCAAAGGTATTATGTCCAAGTCTCTGCCTACAACATGAAAGGATGGGGTCTGTCCCAAGCCACTACTCCTGCCTCCGCTTCTCCGTCCAGTAGGTTATGAGCTGTTACATCTACTGTATTTGATTCCTAACTGCTGCTTTCTCAGAATCTGTCCCTTTTAAAAGTGAGGTTGTAAACATCCACTCGTCCAGGACCAAAGGCCAGGTGGGGAAGCCAGGTGAGAATGCAGTAAATGAAATATAAGTTCAGGCCCACAAACAAATACGCACACATGCACACACAGAGTGTGCGTGTGTATATACAGAGAGAGAGAGAGAGAGAGAGTGTGTGTGTTGGAATTTTCTTTGCTTGTTGCATATTATATCTGTGTGCGTGTATGTAGATATATGGTAGGCAACTGTCGATCCTCTGGATCATGGTATACACATAAGAGGTCTAGTCAGATGCCTGATGAATCCATTTGTGGCTGACAAGCCCAATTCAAGAGCAACACAGCTTGTTACAAATTTCACAGGTCCATACGTTGTCTGAGTTGGAGTCCAGAGTTTGTAGGATGCTGCTTTCTTCTTTCTTGCTTTGCTCCCATCCTCTGGATCAAAGCCACTTCATGTTGAGCTGCCCCCAGTGCCAGATGTTCCCACCAGATTGGGCAGGATTCTGCGCGCTCCTCCCAACTTTCTACGTTGATGTCGAGCAACTTCATATAATTTTTTCAGGCATCGTGGTACCACCATAGAGGGCAACCCGACTTTCTAGAGCCATCTTCAATCTCACTATGCAAAATATTCTTGGGGATACGGTCTTCTCCCATTTCCCTGACATGGCCGATCCATCACAACCTTCTCTTCTTGATAACAGTTTTCTACGTGTGCCAGTCCTGTGCACTCCAGCACTTCGGTGTTTGGTATTCTGCTTTCCCACTTTATTTTCAGGATCTTATGCAGACATCTCATGTGGAAGCTGTTCAGTCTCTTGATAGGCCTACCATATGTAGTCCACATTTCTGAACCATAAAGCAGGGATGACAGCCCACGTCTCATAGATTTGCATCTTCACCTTAGCTGATAGTTTTCTGTTATTCCATGCACAAAATTCTTAGCTGCTTTTCCATTTCTGTTAGTCAGCTCAGTCTGAAGGTCCAGATTCCTGCTGATTGTAGACTCCAAGTAGCAAAAACTGTCAATGACAACAAGGGATTTCTCCTCCAGAGTGATGATGTCAGGCACTGGTTCTTCCACCCCTTGGTACATAATCATAGTCTTCTTGAGACTAATTGCCATCCTTAAACTCTTGCATGATTCAAATAATATGCCCAAGACATTTTGCTGGGAAGATTCACTTTGAACAACCAAGAACACATCATCTGAAAACGGGAATTTTCTCAGGACCAGTTCTTTCACCTTGGTTTTCACGCTAAACCTTGAGATGTTGAAGCCTCCGTCTAGTCTGGTTCAAAGATAAATGCCATCATTGCTGGCTTTGAATGCATGAAGAAACAGTAATGAAAAGTAAATGTTAAGAAAAGTATGGAGACTAAAATGCACACGTTTCACCCTGTTGTTTTGATGTCAGAGGTGTTTAATTCTTTATTATCATAATCTACAGTTACCTTCATACCTTGATGTAAAGAGCAAGTTTATACATTTTGCAGGGGGACAACCCAGTTTCTCTGGAACAGAAAAAAGTCCTGTCTGGTGACTCTATTGCAGGCCTTCATCAGATCGATGAAGGCTATGTACAGGCGTATTCATTTTTCTCTACACTTCTCTTGCAGTTGTTGACTGAATATATCACATCAATGGTGGAGCATCCTGAGTGAAGGCCACCTTGACTTTCAGGATAGAGACTTTCACCTAGAGATTGTAGCTTAGGAGCATGATGCGAGTAACAATTTTTCCAGCCTTCCTGAACAGGAAAATACCTCTAGAGCTGTCACAGTCACTTCTATCCCCTTTGTTTTTGTATAATTGTACAGACTGTTCATCTCTGAAATCTTGCGGTACTGCTTCCTCTTTCCAACAGAAAACATCATGGAGCTTTCCAAGTAATTTGTTGTTGGCGTGTTTGTATGTTTTAGCGGGCAAAC